AGATGCAAAGAGCTGGCTACTGAGCCACACCAGGAAACTATCTATGCCAAACAGGTACCGACCAATCACAAACATCCACACAAGTCATTATCAGGTTCATAATTTGTCATAATTTCTTTTCATACAATTTTTTAGGATAAAATTTTATTTTAAAATTTAATTTTAATTGTAAAGAAGCCTCTTATGTTCACCAAGGCTGCATTTATTTGATCAAACATACTGTAAAAACAGTAATATTGTGAAATATTATTACTATTTAAAATAGCAGTTTTCTATTTTTTTATATATATTTTAAAATGTAATTTATTCTTGTGATGGCAAAGCTGAATTTTCAGCATCATTACTCCAGTCTTCAGTGCCACGTGATCCTTCAGAAATCATTCTAATATGCTGATTTGCTGCTCAAGAAACATTTCTTCTTATCAATGTTGAAAACATTTGTGCTGCTTAATATTTTTGTGGAAGTCTTGATATATTTTTTTCACGTTTCTTTAATAAATAGAAAGTTCAAAGGAACAGCATTTTTTAAAGATATAAATCTTTGGTAGCATTAGAAGTAATTTCGAAAAATAATTTCTTAAATAAAAAAGACTTATTGACTCCAAATGAATGGTGGGGATAAAAAAATATTTTATATTTATATAGTATATTATAAACATTTATATATATTTTCTAGAAGTATAAGTATATATAAGTATAAGTAAGAAAACAGTACTATTGTGTAATATTATTATTATTATTATTTAAAATAACTGAAAGTTCAAAGAAATACCATTTATTTGAAATAAAAATATTATCTATTTAATAAAAAATGTTTCTATTTAATGTATTCTTGCTGAATAAAAGTATTAATATCTTTAAAAAATAAATAAATAAATTACTGACTCAAAATGTTTGAACAGTACAATATACATATTTATATTAACAAAAAAAAGCACAAACTATTTTTTAAAAATCTAATATTATTCCTTTTGGATATCAAACCCTATAGTTTTAAGTGCATCACTTTAACTGACCAATGGCATCCTGTGCTTAGTTATCAGAGCTGCGTCAGAGGCTGGACCGCGCTGAGGAAGACCGCGAGGAGCTGCAGGAAGATCTACGCAGAGAGCGAGAAGCCAGAGAGAGGCTGGAGCGAACCATCTCTGAGCTCAAACATCAGATGAGGGAATCCGCCCACCCTGCTTCAATGGACAGTCCCATGTCTTCAGCCTGTAGCGACACACACATGTCCCCGACACCTTAGCATGGTCTACGGTCACCAACCCGCAATCTGATTTCTGTGATCAAGAGTCATTTTGGAATGGTGTCTCCGTTGGATGCCAAAGTTGTTTTTATTGCAGTTCTACGGAACAATTATACAATTCGGGTCGTCCTGAGTAGGTTTGGGTTTAATGCTGTGAATTTGTTGAGTAACTATTAAGTTGATCTGATTTTTTTGGACATGTGAATAAGGATTTTTGGTGTTTTGATACAAATTAAGTAGTTAGAAACATTATGCAAACCACTAACCCTGCAACTGTACAATCAACATCATCCGTTTTGGTTTATCAGTGCTAGGACTACTGATATCTAATGACATTTTTTTTTTTTTATATTGGAATTGTTTAAAAATACTGATATTGTTTCTAAAATATTTATTGTTTATGGATAAATGTTATGTGAATAATCTTATATCAAATTATACATATTTAACATTCTTTTTGCCATATTTTGTTTATATTTTATGTAGGTTATGCTCATTATGAATGTACAAAATATATGCATGTGTACTTTCATAAAATATGGATAAATATACTATGTTTACACTGTGGTATGAAGTTCAGAAAATGTTTTCTATGCCATTTACGGTGAATGTTTGCCTCTCTTAATGACCACCAGAATTATTTTCTCTCATTTCGAGGACTTTTAACACCAAACAGGGAAAATAAAACAAGAAAATTATAGATTTTAAAAGTTATGCTAAATGTTATAATACTCATTGCCACAAAATTTACAGTTTAAGTATATGACATGGTCCTTGTACTTTACATTCTATAAACTGTCTAGACAAACAGGTCTATATGTACTTTGCTCAGAGAAAGATGTGTTAACTCTTCTATGTGTGAGAAAGAAAATTATGTATTGCTATTGTTTGCTGTAACTGACAATCAGCTTGTTTATCTGTAATTGCTTTTATATCCAAAATTTAACAGTTAAGATGAATTAAATAGTTGCTACCTCATACAAACACATACAGATATATACATAGAAAAGCTATAGGTTGTGTATTTGTGTATAGAAGTGGATGGAGTAGTCAGTCAGGCATATGACTGATAAATACCTCTGTGCTGCTGCTATATTTCTTTATATGATTTTTTCCCTTTTTTCAGTTTCCAGATTACTTAAAGATGCATGTGAGATTGAAGAAATATATAATATATATATAAAATACAGATATACTAAGTATTGTTTCCTAACCTTTAGGCCAAACATAATTTCACAATGATGTTGTCAAGTACAAAATGTTAATTATCTTTGCTAGTGCCATCTTTTATGTGTATCATATGACATGAAACTTTTGTCCTACCTCCACTTGTGATCGAGACACTTGTATCACCCACCAACTTCTGTTTGTCATCTTTTTACATTAACTCATGGGAAATTATATATTAATGTGCTGTTGGGGACAAGAATAAAAATGATTATATATAATTATATACAATGACTTGCATTTACTTGTCTAGTAATAAAAATGCACAGTGTGCATCATAGTTACGATATTTAATGGTAGATATACTACAATAAAGCTATGGTAATGGTATTATCAAAATATCAAAATAACAGATACCCCGAAAGCTTCTTTCACTGCTTGAAGGAGATTTCATATATAAATACAGTGGGTACGGAAAGTATTCAGACCCCCTTAAATTTTTCACTCTTTGTTATATTGCAGCCATTTGCTAAAATCATTTAAGTTAATTTTTTTTCCTCATTAATGTACACACAGCACCCCATATTGACAGAAAAACACAGAATTGTTGACATTTTTGCAGATTTATTAAAAAAAAAAAACTGAAATATCACATGGTCCTAACTATTCAGACCCTTTGCTGTGACACTCACATATTTAACTCAGGTGCTGTCCATTCCTTCTGATCATCCTTGAGATGGTTCTACACATTCATTTGAGTCCAGCTGTGTTTGATAATACTGATTGGACTTGATTAGGAAAGCCACACACCTGCCTATATAAGACCTTACAGCTCACAGTGCATGTCAGAGCAAATGAGAATCATGAGGTCAAAGGAACTGCCTGAAGAGCTCAGAGACAGAATTGTGGCAAGACACAGATCTGGCCAAGGTTACAAAAAAATTTCTGCTGCACTTAAGGTTCCTAAGAGCACAGTGGCCTCCATAATCCTTAAATGGAAGACGTTTGGGACAACCAGAACCCTTCCTAGAGCTGGCCGTCAGGCCAAACTGAGCTATCGGGGGAGAAGAACCTTGGTGAGAGAGGTAAAGAAGAACCCAAAGATCACTGTGGCTGAGCTCCAGAGATGCAGTCGGGAGATGGGAGAAAGTTGTAGAAAGTCAACCATCACTGCAGCCCTCCACCAGTCGGGGCTTTATGGCAGAGTGGCCCGACAGAAGCCTCTCCTCAGTGCAAGACACATGAAAACCCGCATGGAGTTTGCTAAAAAACACCCGAAGGACTCCAAGATGGTGAGAAATAAGATCCTCTGGTCTGATGAGACCAAGATAGAACTTTTTGGCCTTAATTCTAAGCGGTATGTGTGGAGAAAACCAGGCACTGCTCATCACCTGTCCAATACAGTCCCAACAGTGAAGCATGGTGGTGGCAGCATCATGCTGTGGGGGTGTTTTTCAGCTGCAGGGACAGGACGACTGGTTGCAATCGAGGGAAAGATGAATGCAGCCAAGTACAGGGATATCCTGGACGAAAACCTTCTCCAGAGTGTATATATATATAATGGTTTTAAAGCACTAACTGTAGTAACAATAATATTTCAGCAGACACTCACGGTTTTCAAGATTACCATAGTAAAAGTTCCTCTTAACCATCTCCGGTGTCCACTCAGCAATTTCATGGGTTTGTGCAATTTTCATAAATGAATAACTAAGATTTTAAATGAATTAGGCTTTTAAAGTGACCGGATTCATGTGACAGCTCTTTGTTTACAGTGTTTTAATAAAGCCAAAGTTCAGCCTAACTTCCGGGATCCGGTATGAATGAGATTCAAATTGTAATTTTGTCTGCTTTGCCCGTGAAATTAGTCATAGCCCACAGCTGAGCAGGGATTTATCGCATGAATTAAACAAGACATGAAGTGTCTAAAATAAATGTGCACAGTTCAGCTGAATGATGAAGTTTACTTTGACTGTATGCTTTGCACAATATTAACAAACTGTACACTGAAACAAAACAACCAGAACATTAATAACTGATAGAGCTCGTGGTTTACCTGTCAATCAGATGCGCTCTCGGCCACTGATCTATGCTCGTGACGTTTTCTTTTATAATTATCATTGGCGGATAGAAATGTTTTAAAAAATAGTATTTTAGATGGTAATAAGATCAAGACCCTCGATGACGTCATGATCTATCTATTCTGTCGTGCAGCGTTGTGGACAAGCCAGTTCCACCGTAAAATAACCTCTGAATCGTTTTTTTGAACTGGTTAATTAAAACTATCTATCCGAATCAGAAAACTAATCCTAAAATTCAGATGATCAGTAGCCTACCGACTCGTTTTCTTTCAGTTTATTTTCATGAATTTAAATGTGTGCAGCCTTCTGTTTGAGAGACACCCATATAGATAAGCTTTGTTGAACTGAAAAAGGCTCTGAATGAGGAGTCGATTCCCCTTGATGGAATCGATTCCAACCTTTGGAATCGACTCTCGATTCCCAACGCCTCGGAAACTAGGAATTGATTTTTTTTTGGAATCGACTCCCAGCCGTAGATGAATGTGACAGGTGTAAACGCGGACTGAAAATGCCCCAAATCATCGCGCACTGATGAATGCATATGTAAAAGATTTAAGAAAATATTTCAAGGTAGGAACAGCTCGAGTCATTCAACAATTTTGACTGAACGGGTTTAAAACAGGTCGCAACGATGAGCAGGATATGAGAAAGTAAACAAATAAATCGACTGTCTTTCGTGCTGTTTTAAATATTAATGTATTCGTTTTTCAGATTGAAAAAGGACACAATAATCATGCATAAATTACCTGCAGATAAGCCGAGATCTTATTTTAAGAATCAATGTATGTTATCTGGAATGTCCGGTCACACTGAACCCCAAAATATGAAATTATACTTGTTTATATAAAAAAGCCCCTTTTAAAACTTTTTTTAAATTTTACCTGAAAGTTAAGTAAATTAACCACATCTCATAATTGTTAAATGCAAAATACATTAAAGTTTATGTAAAAGATAATATAAAAATATTAAATAATATTTACATATATTATACATTTAGTCTTTGCTGAAAAAAAAAACTTCAAAGTGAAACATCAGGAATGATAATTGTCCTGAAAACATATATATATAATTTTTCTGCAAAATATAGTATCTTTTTTATTAATTTGGTGTAAGATTAAAACAAATTTTTTTTCTCAAAAGTCACCATTTATGCAATTATGCAACACTAAATAATTTATTAATTTACTAATAAATAAATTTGGAGTCAACTATTAATCCATTTTGTCATCATATGCAGAGTCTACCAAAGGGAAGGAGAGTGTTCAGAAAAGATCTCCTCTGGATCTGATTATGAACCAGCTCCGAAGGAAAGCCTCTTTCACAGAGAGAAAGAAACCGGCTGTGGGCCGCCTCTTCCGCCCATCAGAGCGCAGTGAAAAGAGAAACGTAGGCATACCTGAAGTGAAAGAATCAGAGGCCAGTGAGGGAAAGGAAAATAATGAGCCTGGGAAAGGTGGGCATTAGATGTTTTTAGAAGACTTGACTTAATGCAAATATAGATTAACAAACCCTCGTTTTCCTTTAGAGATCAGTGACACAAATGATGAGACTGGCATTGTTGTGGGCTGAGGTCGGGTGAAGCAGTTCGCTCAGAAGCTTGGGAAAACCCCTCACAGTCAGAATCTGAGCCTGAGCCCCTGTGATCTGACAGCTACAGATGTGATGGAACTAAGTGGGTGTTGTGACGTGTTGTTTTCCCCACAGTACAATAACAAGACCGTGCATGTGTCAGGATCTCCAATTATTGTTTTGACGTTACCTCAGCCACGTTACTGCCATTTCTGGCTCAGCTGGAGGTGATGGACCTGTCCTGGAATGATCTGGTTGGAGGCTCCTTGAAGGCACTTACTGCCCATCTGCAGCATGTAGGGAAACTGAGAGTGCTGAAGCTGTGTAGCTGCAGATTAACAGATCAAGACCTTACTGCTCTTGGTACAGGAAGTATTCATTTCTTATTATGACTTAAAAGGATAGTTAACCCAAAAATGAAAATTCTGTCATCATTTACTCTTGATGTCATTACAAACATGTAGGCCTATGACATTCTTTCTTCTGCGGAATACATTTTGAAGAATGTTGGTAACCTATTGACTTCCATTATTTTTTCATAATACAATGGAAGTCGATGGGAACTGAAACTCAATGGAACTCATACAAATGAAAGTCAATGGGAATGTTAAATACAAAAGAAGATATTTTGAAGAATGTTGCTGAGCAAATAGTTTCAGGTTCTATTGACTTCCATTGTATGGTTAAAAAATATAATGGAAGTCAATGGGAACCAAAACTCTTTGGTTCCCTTTGGGAACTCAAACCTCTCTTAAAATGATATTCTAAGAGAGGTTTTTAAAATGATATTCTAAGAGAGGTATATTTGGGAACTTGGTTCCCTTTGGGTACTCTTTGGGAACTCAAACCTCTCTAAAAATGATATTCCAGGTGAAGCTCTTGACTGCATTCCTCTAATAGAGGTGCTAGATTTGTCCTGGAATGTTGGCGTTGGCGCAGGAAATTTCAGACACTTAACAGAACACCTCCAACCTCAAAGCACACTGAAGGAACTCCGCCTGGTGGACTGTCAGCTCTCTGAGTCAGACATTACAGCTCTGAGTAAGACATCTCTTGTATAAAACTCATATAATGATGGTAATTGAAATAGAACCTCTAACTATTCCCCTGAAGGATTTCATATGAAATTGAAGACTATGAAGTTTCATTTTTGGGGCAGTGGTGGACTAGGTACACTTGAGCACTAAAATAGAGTTAAATTATACATACTTTAATGAAATACAACATCTGTAAAAACTTCTGCTTTAGTAAAGATTTGTATTTACACATTAGACTAGAGGGGTGTCTATGGAGACATAGACAGCAAATATCATTGCTGTCTATGGAGGGTCAGAGAGCTCTCGGATTCCTTCAAAAATATTTTAATTTGTGTTCAGAAGATGAACGAAGGTCTTACGGGTTTGGAACACCATGAGGGTGAGTAGACTGGAGGGGTGCACAATGACAAAATGCTTTATTTTATATTTATTTGAATATTTTTATATTTATTTTTAAAAGATAACATATCATTTATTTTATGCAAAATATAATTTATTACTTGTAGGTTAAAATATCTCAGACATATTCTTGGCAGGTTTCTAATACCATATATTATTCCTCCAGCTCAAAATGCCTATTTAAGGAGCGAGGGGTCTAATGTCAGGTCAGATAAGAGATCATTATGACATCATTATGAATTATTAGGAATCAGCGCAGTCAAACTGAGGAACATATTACTCACAGTTCTTGGCTCATTTTGAGTTGGACTAGACAGATTTAGTGATTTGTTAACTTGAGACTTGCTCTGACTGGATCATTGAATCAGTTCTTAACTGATGCAATCAGTAGTTGATTTCACAAATAAACCACTAAAAGAGGTTTAGACCGGTTAAATTAGTTCATTAAAAAGTCGAGTCTTGATTTTTTCCTTTAAAATAACTAGGAATGGCATGTTTTGTTTCTAAAATGTAGCAAAATATATTATTCTTGTAATCCAGCTTTCCCCCCAAAATGAATATACTCTTGATATAGCACCGATTCTTAAAAATATACTAAGATACAGTAACAAAGTAAAAATACTTTAGTCCACCATTGCGTTTGAGTGTATAAACTGGGAATTCAGCTTTAGGTAATTCAGAATAAGCCTATAATGAGCTGTGAATGGTTATTTATCATTTGTCTTTAAAAAGCACTAATGTTTTTCTACAGGTGAGGCTCTTCCCATGTTGTCTAGTTTGGAGGAGTTAGATCTGTCCAATAACAAACTGTCAATCAAGGGAATGGAGAACTTCACCTCCTCTTTAGGCTCAGCTCCACGAATGAAGACCCTAAAACTGAACATGTGTGGACTCAGTAAAGACAGCCTCAGTGTTCTGGGTATGAAAGTAATTCCTTCAAAATAGACCATCAATGGCAGACAAACAACTATTAGCAACACAGCTACAAACTTATACCAGGAAGCTCCAAATTCAGACTCAAATATCAGTAAGTAACCATTTCAGTTGCATTGATCATTTTGGAGATGTTTGTTTTGTGAAATGTTAAAAGGACAGGCACTCAGGTTCATCCCTGCGCTAGAGCAAAACGATCTGTCGTGTAATAAGGAAGCAGATGGAGATCTCACCACACTGGCCACTAACCTAGTTCTCATCCCACACTTGAGAAGTTTGGACATGCATCTGTGCTGTCTAACAAAGGAGGATGTGTTGGCTTTAGGTAAGACATGTTATCACTGTTGATTTAAAGTTGAAGTTGTTTGTATTGTTATCCTAACTTGCCTTTTCAGTCCAGGAAGCTCCATCTCTCAAAGACCTCAGAGAGCTGGATTTGTCGTTTAATAAAAGTGTTGGAGATACACTCCAGAACCTTCTGCAAACCCTCCCTCTTTCTCAGATAACCAAACTTCCACTAAACAACTGTGCTTTGAGCACACATGCATGCAATGCTCTTGGTATGAAACCAATACAGTTTCAAAAAACATTAAAAGTTGATTTGTTTTAAATGATGAACAAATGTGTGTGTGTGTTTCAAAGCTACTGCAATGCAGATGCTAAAACAGCTTGAAAGGCTGAACTTGTCATGGAACAAGTGTGTGGGAGAAAATCTGAGACAATTTCTGGAGCCTTTGCAGCCTGATTGCAAACTACAGGAACTCAGACTGAGTAGCTGTAATTTAACCACTGAAGATGTGCTACATCTAGGTCAGTTCTGGTCAAAGAACGTTCAATCAATTACGTTAAAGCTAAGGTTCTACACCGCTTTAAACATCCATCTTATGAGACTTTTGCAAACTGTTGTGATCTTGCAGAATCTGCTTGCCAGCGTGGAGCTCTGTCCCATCTGAAGCAGCTGGATTTGTCTTATAATGGCAGCGCCGGGGATGGTGGTTGGACATCACTTTTTGAGAAGGCTGCTGCTCTAAAGGGACTGGAGGAGCTGGATGTCAGTCTGCGACCTTCTGCATCCCTCTCCGTGTCTCCCTGGCTGCCTGCCTTGTTGGAGGCCCTTCCGCAGCTCTCGTCCCTCACCCGTCTGTCTCTGCAGCACTGGGCTCTGAGTTTAGCTGAGAGAGAGAAGCTGGAAAAAATTCTTAGCAAGAAGAATGTTATCCTGGAATGTGACAGGCTGGCCACGCCCACGCCAAAGGCTGCAGGTTCATAAGAAGCATTTCAGCCGCTTTGATAATTATGGCTTTCCAAGGTACTGAAGTGGCAAAATAAGATGTTACTGAGAATGTGATGACTGAAAGGCGTTCAACCATTACGTACTTTCCTTTGACCCATAACTTTAAACATGTATTTTTACCTTTTTATATCACACAAATGATCATATAAAAAGAGGATTTTTTTATCATCAATTTAAAGCATGGGAAATAAAAATTTTACTCGTTAGCATAGGGTTAAAGTAGGATGACCATACATCCTCTTTCCCGGACATGTTCTAACCGAGATTTCTAAAATGTCCTGGTTTTATCATAAATTGTATCATTATTTACTTAGATCTGCGTGAAGATTTTTGTATTGAATATCCCTTTAAAGGGTTAGTTCACCCAAAAATTTAAATTCTGTCATTAATTACTCACCCTCATGTTGTTCCAAACCCGTAAGACCTTCGTTCATCTTCGGAACACAAATTAAGATATTTTTAATGGAATCTGAGAGCTCTCTGACCCTCCATAGACAGCAATGATATTACCACGATCAACGCACAGAAACGTAGTAAGGACATCAGTAAAATAGTCCATGTGACATCAGGGGTTCAACCGTAATTTTACGAAGCTACGAGAATACTTTTTGTGCACAAAGAAAACAATGATAACATAATTTATTCTGCAATTCTTCTCCCCGAGTTACCGTCTTCCGCCATTTTGGAGAGTCCCCCAGAACGTAATCAACGTAATGAGCGTTGATTACGTTCAGCATGCGCACCCTTTCTACTGAACGTAAACAATGCTGATTGCGCACAAAAAGTATTCTCGTAGCTTCGTAAAATTACAGTTGAACCCCTGACGTCACATGGACTATTTTACTGATGTCCTTGCTACGTTTCTGTGCGTTGATTGTGGTAATATCATTGCTGTCTATGGAGGGTCAGAGAGCTCTGATTCCTTCAAAAATATTTTAATTTGTGTTCAGAAGATGAACGAAGGTCTTACGGGTTTGGAACACCATGAGGGTGAGTAATTAATAACATAATAACAATATTTTTGGGTGAACTATCCCTTTAAGTGTTGATTGTTTGCACTACAGTAGAGATTGAGTATTTAGATTTACACTTTTCATAATTTTATTAATTTGCTTCCCTTCACATTTAAACAAAAAGATTGTTTTAGATTGAAATTGCTAAATCAAACTCTCTCTGACTTTTATCTGTCCTGCCAAAACTGTTGGAAAATTTGCATGTGACAACCAATACAGCGAAGACTAAGTGTCAGAGCAATTCATTTACATACATGACGTGTTTTTCGCAGACATCATGGCAGCCTGTGACATTTCCAAACACTGGACACATGGACAAAAAGGCTGTAATCAAAAACACTAACTTTGTGATTAATTATAATAAATACAAATGTAACCAACTGTACTGTGGATTATTTTGCTTGCCAGCAACTGAAAAAGTTCCAACAACAACAAAAAGTCACAATCAAGTTTAGTCTAAATGTGTCTTATTCTGAAGCAGCAACATGCACTTTTTGACAAAATCATGAATGTGAGTCAGGGTGGATCTGCAGAGCCAATGAATCTGATTGCATCAGGGCCAGAGCTGAATTACTTGAGTCTCTATATTCCCCATATCTGGACGTCCAATAGTAATGCCTGCGTAAACCATGAGATACTTCTGCTAGAAAAACATGATCGTCCACCTCATAGGGAGAAACATCTGTGTGCTCCTCCAACAGCCGCCCACTGCTTATGAGCCGAGAGAAAGCCTGATTATACATGCAGAGAGAACATCAAGAGATTTTAATGACCTTTCGTACAGAAGTTGAACACTGTACTTGATCATTTAGAGATTTGTGGAATCTCACCACGCAAACTGGCTCCTCAAGTTTGTTCCCCCAGATGTAAATGTGTGTGAGACAGGAATTCACTTTCATTGCCTCATTGAAGGACTTAAGACCTTCCTTTCCAATGTTGTTGCTGGTAACAGACAATCTAGAAGGCAAAAATGATGACGTAAGCTGGTCAGCACATACAAAGGATATAGTTTCATATGTAAACTTGAGATTTAATAGCGTTGTTTTATAAGTAAATTACACTAACGCTTTGAGTTTGCTGTGTGGCAGCTTGATGGCTTCACTTAGATACACTGCACCATCGTCTTCAATGCGATTGGAAGACAGATCTAAAATCTCCAAAGAGGGATTTTGTTTCAAAACCTCTGATAAGCATTTGGCTCCATCCCGTGTAATTCTGTTACTGTTAAAAAATACAGAAATTATAATTTCTCTTATGACTATCTTATAGTCATATTATAGTCATTTCATAACTGATGAACTTTACAGTTATTGAACTGAACTGAATCAACACTGAACACAATCAAACGAATTTAAAGGGTTAGTTCACCTAAAAATAAAAATTCTGTCATTAATTACTCACCCTCATGTCGTTTCAAACCCGCAAGACCTTCGTTCATCTTCAGAACACAAATTAAGATATTTTTGATGGAATCTGAGAGCTGTCTGACCCTGCATAGACAGCAATACAACTGAAATGTTCCCAGGTCCAGAAAGGTAGCAAGGAGATCTGTAAAGTAATCCATGTGACATCAGTGGTTCAACCATAATTTTACGAAGCTACGAGAACACTTTTTGTGTGCAAAAGAAAAAAAAAAAACTACTTTATTCAACAATTCGTCTCCTACGCATCACCCTGTAGCATCATTTTGGAGAGTATCAGCTGGACGTAAACAGCGTATGCTGTTCTGTGTCAGCTGCGTCACACGGATACGCTGTTTTCGTTCAGATCAAATCACAACAACGTAGCAAACAGATCCGGCGTGACGCAGCTGACAGAACAGCATACGTTGTTTACGTCCAGCTGATACTCTCCAAAATGGCTCTACAGGGTGATGCGTAGGAGACGAATTGTTGAATAAAGTCATTTTTTCTTCTTTTGCGCACAAAAAGTATTCTCGTAGCTTCGTAAAATTACGGTTGAACCCCTGATGTCACATGGATTATTTTACAGATCTCCTTGCTACGTCTCTGGACTTGGGAACATTTCAGTTGTATTGCTGTCTATGCAGGGTCAGACAGCTCTCAGATTCCATCAAAAATATCTTAATTTGTGTTCCGAAGACGAACTAAGGTCTTACGGGTTTGAAACGACATGAGGGTGAGTAATTAATGACAGAATTTTCATTTTTGGGTGAACTATCCCTTTAAGCTGAATAATGTTACTATTGTCTTTGTAGAATTTGAATTTGTCTCATATTTGATGAAATTTGCATAATTGGTTCTGTTAATTTCCTCTTTATTACACTGAAGCTGCTTTGAAACAATCTGTATTGTATAAAGCGCTATATAAATGAAGGTGACTTGACTATCTTTTTTCTGTGGAGCACAAAAGAACTGCCATGTCTGAGTTGCCCTGTGCCATACAATGATAGTGGAAAGCCATGGTCGCATTTCACTTACATTGTATGGAAAAAAAAAAAACAGTTACTAAATTCTGCTATAAAAACTAATTTTACTTTATTCTGTGGAAAGCAAAAGGAAGTCATAAAGTTTTCAAAAGAAATGAGGGTGAGTAAACAATAACAGAATTGTCATTTTTATGTGAACCATCCCTTTAGGATCATGAATTAAACAATTATGTAAGTGTGTGTATACCAGTGAAGATCCAAGTAGCGTAGGGAGACGTTTAACTTCAGTGCTTCACACAGCCTCTCCACACCAGTATCAGTCATGTCATGTTTTCCCAAGTGCAGCTCCCTCAGTGTCTTATTCACCACCAGCATCTGTGCCATATGGACTGTTGTTTCCTCCTATCATTTAAGTTAAGATTACTTTTAACCATTAAAACAAGACTTATACCAAAAAAAATTAATAATAAAGTATGTATTTCAAAGTAGTTTTCCTGAAAACATACCTGAAGACTGAAAAGAAGAGGTCGGCTAGCATTAATAGCACATATTTTTCTGTTGTTCTTAAGGACGATGGCAAACGCTACTACACTTTGTGTAGCCTAGTAAAAAAAAAACAGTACTTTAATTCAAATGTAAATTACCTTTATTTTGTGCTTATATTTATGTTCAACAAACTCACCAAATCACAGTCTGAGATGTCTATTTCTTCTAAAGTAGAGTTGATCTGCAACATGGCAGCCAGTTGCATGGCACCTTTGTTTCCAATCTTATTTCCTGTCATTCTGAGCATCTTCAGACTTTTATTTTTCTGTGAAATGAACAGAAAGTACATGCTAAAATTGTGATACGTATTGGCATTAATTTAACACCTATAATTAATGTATAGATGAATTTTAACATTAATTCTAAATGTGAATTAGCCACACTTACGTGCATACTTTTTGCTATCATTTCTGCACCATCTGCCTCAATGTTATTACACATCAGATCAAGAGACTGAAGGGACTCACTCTCCTGTTAAAATTACAATATTCCTTTAAAGTCTGACATGCCAGAAAGTGTTAGTTGTATGCTTAAAAATATAAACATAATGTGAAACACTCTGATGACATACAGTACCTGAATGAGGTGTGCGACATAAACAGCTCCTTTATCTGTGATATTGTTGTATCTAAGATCTAAACCTGCAATGAATTTTTACTTTCAGTTCACTATAAAATCATAGTTTAAAAGTAAGTTACTTGATTCAGGTATAGGTTACAATAAACTTGTAAATATGTACAATAGTTTATGATTTGCATGACCTAAAATTGTTCTGGGTAGGACGAGTTAATATTTACCCTTTATAGCCGAATTTCCCACGAGTGTTTTTGACAAGACCAGCATATCGTCATCTGTCAATCTGTCTCCATGCTTTAGTTGATCATTACCGGTTAGTTTGAGTGAGCCATCACTGAATTAAACAAAACAAAACAACAACGCTAACTCACAGTAAAGTCGAAACGACTGCTCATACTTTATACTGTATTATATACTTTCCAAACCAACCTACTAATGTTGTCTTCCAAGAC